TCACAACAACCCCAGGCAATGCTACAGGCTGGGGGAAGAGTGGCTGGAGAGCTGCCTGGTGGAAAAGCACCTGGGGGTGTTGGTCGACAGCTGCCTGAACGTGAGCCAGCAGTGTGCTCAGGTGGCCAAGAGGGCCAATGGCATCCTGGCTTGCATCAGGACTAGTGTGGCCAGCAGAACCAGGGAGGTGATCGTCCCCCTGTACTCGGCACTGGTGAGGCTGCACCTCGAGTACTGTGTTCAGTGTTGGGCCCCTCACTACAAGAAGGACATCAAGGTGCTGGAGCACGTCCAAAGAAGGGCAACAAAGCTGGTGAAGGGTCTAGAGCACATGTCTTATGAGAAGCGGCTGAGGGAGCTGGGGTTGTTTAGTCTGGAGAAAAGGAGGCCGAGGAGAGACCTTATCGCTCTCTGCAACTACCTGAAAGGAGGTTGTAGTGACATGTAGGACATGGTTTAGTGGTGGACTTGGCAGTTTTACGTTAATGGTTGGACCTGATGGTCTTAAAGGTCTTTTCCAACCCAAATGATTCTATGATTCTAATTAGCATCTCTTAGGGAAGGGTCAAAATTCTGGTATGTGTACTGACCTGAGTATTTGCATCACAAACATATAAGAGAAACTTCTTATTTCTATAAAATCATAAAAATTATTCCTTTGGGCTTACACACCAAGCTGCACATGATAATCCAGCATTTATTACATTTGAGCTATTTTTTTATAATCTTTTACCAAAGAATTATTTTAACATTACCTGGCTACTGGAAGGCTAACCTAAAAGATATATAGGCATTGTCTCTAATGATGAAGTTGATAGGAATAATAAATTACCAAAGATTTTTATTTTGTGACCTGGTAACATGAAAAAGCATTAACATGATGCCATTATTATGGTTTTAATAATTAAGATCTGGCAAAAACAACTTAACATGCATATCAGTATATTAAGGAAGGAAAAGCTTGCTCTCAGTTTTCAGTTTTGAAATTTAGTATTGAGTCTTCAACTTGGTGCTTTCCAAAGCAAGAATCATCATTTCAGGAGAAAAGGGGAGTGACCAGGAAGTAGTGTGACTAAATTGACTCCCAAATGTAGATGATGTGTGCACCTGTGGTGCTTAGTTACTGTAGGCTTGTATTAAGAGTGTGGAAGGTACCTAGAGGTCAGTCCAGATCGTACCTGGGCTGAATTTTCTTAACAGTGGCTTCCCCCTTCCTAGCCCAGAAAAAGAATGCTAGTTTTGTTTTTCTTTGGCCTATGTAACTGTGTGGTATATATATTCAATCCTGAGAGTAGGAAGTCTTGCATTCTTATTTAAAATAACCCAGAGGATTGGGAAACGTCTTTTGGGCAAGTTGAAATATATCGCCTTTTCTGGAGGTTGATATGTTTGATTTAGAATTATTTCAGAAATATGTTTTGTTGTACATTAATTCTGATGCTTAGAGTGGACTTCATGCTTTCATAAACTAGAAGGCAGTTTGAGAATACTTTTCTCCATTCCTGTTTTTATTTGAAACTGTTGGTTTAATCCTTACATTTATATGTTCCTTCCCTGTTACGGTTTATAAGTGTCTTAACATGAAGAAGAAAATACTGCACTTTTTCTGCCTGCCCCAGCATGCTCAGAAGTTCTTTTGATGTGAATGAGTCGAGTTTAGTGACTACAATCATTCTGACCTCATGAGTCATTTTTGTCATCCTTTGAATTATCTATCTATCTATTTCATGCTTGTCACATGGGGATTGCAGTGTTGCAAATACTCAGACAGAATAGTGGTAGGACACACAAGTGTTAATAGTAATACCCTTTGTGTGTGTATGTGAGAGAGACACCTGTATCTTACACTGCAACATAACATGTAAGACAAAAAATAGATGGCAGGTGCCTCTTCTTTTTTTTTTTTTAATTTTTCCTCAAGTCTCTCATTCTTGTGCCAGCTCTGACTTCATAGATTTCAAAATTGTGATGCTACTATTTGAGCCAATGCCTGAAGACACATAGGAAAGATATTATTAGCTGGCTGTGTGTCTGAACACCACTCTAGCTAGCCTAATAAGAGAATATGCTGAGAAGAGCACTCTTGAAAATAGCAGCGTCTATTATGTATGCACTCCTAAAAAATTGTAATATTTTTCTACTTGACACTTCAGTCATAAATTGATATTGAGTTGACACCTAAAGGTAAGACCTTCAGGCAGGCAGTAGTCATGCAGTCCTGAAAATGTTAAAATAGTTAATTGATTCACTTAGTTTCATAGATTAATTTTTAGTTCTCCAAATGCAGTTATGTTAAAATTCATTGAAGTTCTGTTCCCCCGCCCCGGAGGCAAGGAAGGATTACCTGCTTTTTTATTCCATCCCGTTTCCCAATTGGAATGTATAACACTGTCTCTCTACAGACTTGTGCCCTTGTCCATTTTGTGCTGTTTGTATCAAAACTGAATTGCCAAACCCCAGAAATTCACTTGTGTCAGTCTGACTTGGCGTCTCTCACCGTTTCTTAGAGTTCAAAGGAAAGTACAGAATTTTCAGAGCAGTCTCCGTCTGAATAATCTTGTGTAGGAAAGATTAGAATGCATACAATTATCACTTGATTAGTTTCTGAAGTTAAAATATATTCAAAAAATTTTCAGATTATAAATTCAGAGAAAGAAGACTTTCTGAAAGGATGCTTGCAATTGTATTAAGGTCCTTTTGAAAATAAACTGTTCTTTCGGGATTGTATTAATAAAAATAAGATATTTAGTAGTACAAAATAAGAAGTCTTTCAGTTAGTCCCAGCCTGATCCTGGTGATCTCTGACCCAAACTGAGGGTCTTAAATTAGCAATAGTCATTCTCAGTTCTGTCACTAGTAAAGCTAGACAAGCACCTCCAGAGGGCACTACAGCCCAGTAGAAGACTAAACTGACCTCTCTATACTGATGTCTCGCCAGTTTTGATCATCTCATAGGTACTTTGGAAAGTTACCTCAGTTACATGGGGAATGAACCTGGGCGTTAGATCACACTGAAAACAGTAATTTTCACTATAAGCAGTTGGTGAGTTCTGGAAGGGAGGAAAGGCTTGCGTTAGCTAATCACAGCAGGGTAATGAGCCACTGATGTGATGCGGCTGTACAAAAGACAAAAATACTCCTAGCATATATCAGGCAAGGTATTACTTGCTGCAACTGGCTATGAACTCTTACTTAAGGATACACATTATGCTTAGCAAGGCAGAAAGAAGTTGAATACCTATGTATGAAGCAAAATACATTTCTTTAGGAGCTAGAACAAGAAGCCGTAAATTAGAATAGATAGTTCTTAGCTTTTTTGAGAAGTCTTACAGTGTGGATATGCAAGTGCCTGGATTAAAAAAACATATATGTTCAACTTTTAATCAGACCTTATCTAGCTGGTTTAGGATTCCTGGTGTCTGTTTTGAGTAAATGCCAATATTTTGCTTGGCTGACAGTAAGAAGCAGATCAGTTGGCTAAAGAAATAGTGGGACTGAACTTTGTGCTCTAAATTAGAATAGAAAGATTAGTGAAGCCAGGTGCCAAATCTGTCATCTTACCATGGTGGTATCTTCTTCTTTGGAGAGAAATTTTACACTGTATTTGCTTAAGTAGGTCTTTGGACATTAGCCAAACTTTCCTCTGGCATAAGAGAAATGACCATTCTTTTATAAACCAACAAACACCATTCACTAAATTGCCTGTTGTAGACTATAAAACTCTTGCTTCCTGTGCTCTATTTTAAAATCCAGAAATAATTCACAGACATAACTACAGATTTCAGTCTCCTTTTATGTAGAAAATATGTATTTTTTTCAGTGAAAAAAGTTTCAGTGTTCAGGATATATTGTGCTCAAGATTAGAGGGGATCTTTTTCACTTGTCCAAGTTAATTGTTTTCTCAAGAAGTTAATTGCTTTATACATGATTTTGTACCCACACTTCCTGTCACTTCCATCTCCCGCCTTGTTGCAAGTGGAACATCACCTAGGTGAAGAAGCAGAGAGAAATTGTTTTTTCATTTTTTTTATAGGATTTCATATTTCAGTTTGATAGGTCTCATAGAAGAAATGTTATGAATTTTTAATTTTGTAGCTGTGGAAGCTATTTCATTGAACGCTGTTTATGACTTTTTTTTAAACTTAATTTATAGAATATCATGGTAAGGACTATAAAAGGCAATAAAACTTTACAGTTCCAAAGAATAAGTGGGGTAAGTGTCTGAATTGTCTTTATTAAATGCAGCATTGACAGTTGTCCAGAAAGCTACAGAGAATAAAGTCTGTTTGTGTGAGTGTTGGGGGTTTTTTTGTTTTGCACTTGGGTTTTTTTTGTTTTTTGTTTTTTGTTTTTTTTTTTAAAACTAAAAGATTTTTTTACTCCTGGGCAAACTGGCAAATTATTCCTTGTCTTTGGGCAGACTTTCTTCCGTATATAGCTGAGCTTGACACGTAAGCAAAGGGAGATTGTTGCTTGGACTCCTGGGTGAAAAAAAAAATGTTTTCAGCTACACTGATCTCTGCTCCCAAGTGGTAGTTTAACTTAACCCTCACCTTTTCCTCTTCCCCAAGATGTTATAATTTCCCAACTCTGAAGACATTGTTTACATTGAGGGTAGCATCTGTGCCACCCAAACCACACTATATGTTGTGAAAGGAAAATCCACATCCTTTTATTAAGACTGAGTTTTGTCTTTTTATATGTGCATTATTGGCATGGGAGGGGTGGCAAATGTCTTAATCTTGTGTTCGGAATTTCCTGTTTTCTGCAGTCTTGATGAACCACAGCCCTCATACCTGTGGCACCACATCATTTGAAAATGTTGCTCCCTCCAGAAGAAATTTTGTGAAAACTGCCCTAAAGAAAAGTGCCTGATTCTTGCGGAAGTTTTTGTTTTTGTAGATGTGGGAATAATGATTAACTCATTACAACTGATCTCTTGAGCTAATGTTTCAAGAATAACTTCTGTAACTGTTAATCAGGATGTGCCGGTCAAAATATTTTGTTTTGTGTTCCCCTGTCTCCCCTTCAGCTTTCCAGAAGACTGCGAGAAAGAGATTGGAAAGTTGGAGATCTCTTGCAAGCAGTGCTGAAATATTGTGAAATGATAGAGAAGGCGTCTGATGGAGAGCAAGCTCTAAATAAGTCTTTGGTTGGCTGGCTTCTGGAAAATGTCTGAAAAATCCAAAGATGCAACACTCTTCACTTCATTCCTCTTTTGAAAGGAGATAGGAAGAACACAGATATGTAATGTAAAATTCAACTAATGAATGTTCAAGTAATTGTCAGCATTTAAAAGACTTTGAGGCGAAAGTCAAAATAGCTGTGCTGTGCTTTGTGATACTGTGCACATGGTATGTTTATTCAGTCCATAATCGGTATCGTCCACCCATGCATAAATTGTATTTACTGCTGCGTTCAGACCATGGAAATATTTGTGAAAAAAATACCTTGTCTATGATAATAGGTCAGAGGAGACAGTCTCAGGCGTGATATTCAGGATTCCCGCTGTGCCAGGATAGCTCTTTTTCCCACTTGTATGTGTACTATATTCACAGTGGGACTACGAGCACTGATGTTCTGCAAAAATCTGTTCTGGAATACCTTGCTGCAGACGATGGAAAAAATTACCGACATTGGCCAGGTGTTATGTGCCTACGGGCACCATTGCCAGGAAAAAAAACGTGACCTGCCGAAGTAGCCCCTTAATATGGTCTGGCTTCGTAGCCACCTTTATCAAGTTTAACTTTATGTGAAGATGTGAGAGTCTGCTCTGAAATTATTGAGGTGCAAATACATGTTCCCATGTCCCATGTTGACTACTATAGAGCTGGTAACTTCTGGTAGAAGGGCAAACTGGGTAGCCGAGCATAATTTCATACATACTTCTTCAGCAAGGTTTCCTGAAGCTTGCCAATCAAGTCTAAATTGCTCAATTTCTTATTGAAGCTTTTTGTATGCGTATACTTGGGTGACATGAATTCTGTGTCGAAGAGTTTGTACGTTAGTCTCTCACATAGATGTGTTAAATGTAGCAGATAGAAGCTTCTTCCTCTGAGGATCTTGGCCATCTTTTTGACTAGTCTAATTCTTTGTTTCTTAGCCTCCATATATGAATTTTCTTTTCAGTAATAAAGAGAATTTTGTTACTCAGTGGGCACTTAAGCGTTTAGCAAAGAGAGCTAATTAAAACATAAAGGGGAAATTTCTTGCAAATTGATTTTTCATTTTTCTTAACTACCTTCACTGAATTTTTTTAAAGGCACTTTTAATCAAGTCTTTTTTAGCAGTCTAATCAGGTTTCTCACCAGTGCTGCTGACTTGCCTTTCTGTCTGAAGGGAAATTTGGACCTTTACATATCCTGTGGTTTGAAAATGCTTTTTGGTTTTTTTTTATTTTGGGTTTTGTTTTTTTATACATCCTTTGAGAGAAAAAGGCACATGCTGGTAATTACAAGGTTGCCACCTCAAAAATCCTATCACCTGCAAGAGAATCATGGAGTCGTACTTATTTTGGATGAAAAGAAGAATCTTAATAGATTTTTCATAGAAAAACATACTGTTGATATGGTGTGGAAGTTTCGGATCCCAAACAAGGAGAGATAAAGTCTCTAAAGCTATTCATGAATTTTATTGGAATGTGTGCAATTCTGATTTCCGCTACCCCCTAAATTACACTGGTAAACTCAAGAGCACTCTCCTTGCAATGTCCTTGTTTTTCCGGAGGGCATTTCACTGGTCTTTTTACAGAGACCTGGTTTGTTTTAGTCCTCATTCGTCATCTGGATTTCTGCCTTGGATCTCACAAAGTTCACCTTTCTCACTGAGTTAAAGATTTTTAACATTTTTGTATATACACATATGTGTGTTCACACATGTGCATACACACATAGATATGTATATGTATTTATATGTATCTATATTTGTGTAAGATCTCACCAATATGAATTTACAATGTAAATTTTTACCACTAACTTAAAATTCTGTTATACTCATAATTTATTACCTCACTTCATATATCATTTCACTGATTGAAAGATCTATGTATGCCATGTGACAGAAAGACCAAAAACCATTACAAGGTCTTTTGTCTTGTTATTAGTAATATAATACCAAGCGTCAGGAATCATTTTTCTCTAGAGCCCAAAGCAGGGAGGGGGAAGGTTATCTTAATTCCTGTATTTGGAAGATGGGGCTAGCAACAAATATTTTTGAAGAGTTGTACAAAAGTTGTCTGGATTTTTTTTCCTCCCCCATCCTCCAGACTCCTTTATTCCTTTTTTTTTTTAAAGTTGACTTTTAGACGTCATTTCAGGCAAAAATTTGAAACCATTCTCTGGCTGTAACATCTTCCCTTTAACACAGCAAAAAAGTACTTGTACAAATTTACTTATAAAATTGAAATGCCAAGAAAATAAAACACTGAAAACAGTGCCTCAGGACTAAATTTTGCTCTGAGTTTTGGACCGTTGCATTCTCACCAAGTGGAATTTCAGGAAATGAGGATATAGTAGTACTAGTACAGTGTCTCTGTACATGTCCAAAATCAAATTGAGAAAGATATTGAAGGCATTGTACAAAGCTATACATTTGGAAAAAAAAACCAAACAAACAACAAAACAACACCACAGGAACAGCCAGTTTTTAACTGATTTGTTCAGTATGTTGGATTTTATAAAGTTGGTGAGTTTTCTTTTTAATTACTTTCCTGAAGAAAGGCAGAAGATTGTGCGATTCCCAAAGCTTACAACTGTTCAAAAAGTTAAGTAGACGATAGTTGCACTAAAAATGATTTTTATAAATGGAATCTTGTTTTCAGACTGGATCAGATACGTTATGTAACTATTGATTGGTGTTATGTTAAGGAAGAAATTGATTTATTAGCCTCTGATGACAGTAGCATAGTTTCCAAATTTACATGAGAAAAATATGTTATAAAATACTTCATTTTCACTTAAACAAAAAACCAAACCAATTTTCTATACAAATTGTTTTAAATTTGTTCTGGATGACTTGACTTTTCTTCTTGGGTATCAAAATTGGGAAAGCGTTAAAGTAGCCTGGCAAAATTATTATAATTTAATAATTTTAATAATCTTTGGGAAACCTCGCTCTGACTATATCTAACTGGTGCTGTCTGCCATATTAGTGAGAAAGCTGTTCTTTGCTAATGCGAGTCTTAAATTACACTATTACTGAGTTTATTTAAAACTCCTGACCACAAATACAGAAGTGTAAATGAAAACTGTAAAAACATGAAGGGCCACATTTTGGTCCATTTAAACCAGACAACTCTGCTTTATAAAAAGACATAATAAGGTAGAGTTTGTTTCATCTTGCATTTTTTTCTGTATGGGAAACCTGACTTGGTAATTTAATTTTTAAGTTGAGGAAAATATATACAATGGTGGTGGTGTTCCAGAAGACACCCTGTTTCAAACACTTCATAAATACATTCGGTGTTCTAAAAAAGTGGAAGTGTTCAGATGTTTTGTAAGGTTCTGTAGAAAAAGCACTTTGCAAATAGTCCCTCTATAAATTAACAATCAAAAGTGGCCATATTTAAAACAAGTTTAAACATTCAGAATGGGGTGCATAAATAATACAGAAGTATGCATAAAGCCTTAAAATAAAAACCAAACAAAACTCAAACCCATATGCTAAAATTAAAGAGGATTTGCTGCCTCAAAATAAGGATGTTGAAAAGTAGCTAAGACAGTGTACTTGAATGCAATTTGTGTAGCATCTTTGTTCTTGAGTTTTAAAAGATTGTGTAACCTTTTTAAAAAACAAACAAAAACCAAAAACCAGGCAACCCACATTCCGAGACTAATTAGGTCTCTCAAAAATGGTATCGGATTTTAAACATTACATTTTCTAATGTAACTTTGTCTGGGACCTTTTCTATAAAGAACCACATATTGTTGGATTTGGGAACACAGTAAACACTGTCACCAGCGCAAAAAACCCTAGTTTTACACGGTTGATTTGCAAAGGAAAATATAAGATTCAGGAATGATTTTAGTGTAAGAATTTTGGCTTTTCAGCAAGAGCCACTACTGTCGAACATTTACTGTACTTGAGCTCTGAAGAGGCAAGTACAGAGCCCAGCCACTGTAGTCACTTTATTTTGTACCATCTTTGTACATTCCTGTTGTATAGCTGGAGTTGTAGTTTTAGAAGGCCTTTGTTCTGTTGTAATGTCTGAATAGTATTTAATACTAAAATTTATTATAATTTGCTGGAACTGCTGCTTATTTGTGCAGTGTTACAGTAATTCACAGCCCAGTTAGTGATGCAATTGTATACCAAAAGCAGTTTGAATAACTATAAATGTTTATGTAACTGTACTCAATGAATATGAAGGTCTTGTACTGTATAATGGTGACGAGTTTTGCCATTTTAGTAATTTAACTATATCCAGTTTTCAGATTATGAACTCCAGGTTGCACTAAATTTGTCCTTGTTTTAGCAGTGGCTTAAAATAAAACACATTTCACTGGCTTCAAGAGTGCTGTCATTTCTTGTAAATTCATGGAATATTATTTTTCTTTTCAGCTAACACAGCTAAGATTGGTCTTGGTCAGTGGTTGTGCGAAGGCGCTTGAAGAATGGTATAGTAAATAGTGCATCAGTAGATGGCATACTTCTTACAGAATTAAACTGGTGTCCAGGAAGAATGCGAGAACACTTTTACCGTCTTTGGGTTGAAAGGTAAACGCGTAGTTCCGGTTACATGAAGTAAAGCGTCGCATGGATTCTGCAAGGAGAGACTGGGCAAGAAATCCACTCTAATATGTCAATACAAGTAGGATGTAATAACCAGTCTACCTCAATCTCACCTTTCCTGAAAGCTAGGTTAGGGAGGTTGGCTTGATATTTTCGTGTGGACTGAGGCTGGTCTTTGGCACATGGTACAGTATTTGGGGAATCGATGTAAAAGCCAGGTTTAGAGTCTTCTGGACAAATGCAAGAATACACTGCTAATGAAAATGTTGTGTGAAACATGAAGTTTCATAGGCCTATTCAAAATCCTCAAGTGTTTTGGTACCTTGTGAAATCTACCAAAGAGCGTATTGTCAAGTACCCCAAAATAGTCACGCTGAGCAGAGATGTTGTGCACAGATACGGTTTGTAAGATTTAAAAGTACTGCTGGTGCAAATAGCTGTCTTAATGTT